AGAAGAAACCCCCTTCAAAATTGAGTTTTCTACGTGACTCCCAAGGAAAAATAAAAAAAATGCATTGTGAAATACCCGAAATGCCCCTGGAACAGAATAGGGTAAAACTCCCTAAAAATGCTACTTAGAGTTTTTGTTTCATCAAGGTAGGTATTGTTTGCCAAAGTGAGCATGCAAGTGTATGTAATATGATAAAATAGATGTGCTACAATGGCCTATGGCCTCATGACAATACATTTACAACATTTGACATGTCAAACCTCCAAGTTAGAAAAATTACATTTTATAGACAAATCATGAACATGTTAACACTTGCAGGTGAACAAGAATGCTTCTAAAGAATCTCAACTCAGCAAATCACCCAAGCAATTGCAATCTCTAATCTTGTATCCTGTACCTGAAATATGCCTCAGTATCGTAGGGGTGAGTAACATAAAGCTACTTGTAGGAAATGAGCATGCATCGACCTACATTTTACAAGTGTATATGATTTAATCATTGTGGTTCATTCCACCTAACGTCTATGTCAAAGGTGAGACTCAGGGAGCATCCTAACTACCTAAGATCATTTCTAGCATAAAACACATCATTTATGCAATTTCAACAACACAAAAGCATGCTACACATAGCAACAAGATATAACATGCTTACACAAAGCAACTAGTTAGAAACATGCTTATATAAAGCAACCAGATAGAAACATGCTTACACAGAGCAACTAGATATAGATTCTCAAAGTTATCAACTTGAAATCTAAAATGTAACATCAACTAAATATAACAATTTAGCATAATTAGAATATCTAATACCACACATCAAGACATAGATTCTCTAGGTTATCAACTAGCAATCTAAAAGTGTGAAATCAACTAAATATATCAATTTAGTATGGATGTACTTAACAACATCAAATCGCCAATTACCAAAACCACAAGTCATAATTAAACATTGGTTGTCAACTTGGAATTGAATGCGAAATCAAATAGTGGAAGACTTGGACATCACAGCTCGGATTTCCGCCGAGACAAGGCAAATTTGGAGCTACTAACCCCCAGGCAGCCTACCCAACACGCGAACTCTATAGGGCTAATTTGGAGCTACTAACCCTCAAGTAGCCTACCCAATGCACGAACTTTTGACTTAGAGGACTCTTGTCCCCGTACTAGAGCTAAACCCTAGCCATCGCAGCTTAACAATGTCCTAAGCAACTCCAAAATAAATAAGTTAACAACTTATATACGTATTAAACAGTACACGAAACTACCTTCATGCACAAGTAGGTTGTAACCACACAACACATGCTCTAAATCCACAACAACTATAGGATGACAATGTCAAATTTTCAGAGCGCGATTCGTTACGCGTTATAATAACATCACATGTCGAATCTTCAGTGTGCGATTCGCTACACGCTATAATAATATAATCCAATATTGAAAACATAATTTATAAATCTATTACAAGTCTAAAATCATGCTCCAAACATACTATCAATGCCAATTTCAGGATTTAATCATTAAAGCAATAGAAATGGAATTTAATCAAATAAACTAATTAAATTCCCTAACTTTCAAATCTCAATCAAATGACCCCTAATCAATGCATATTATACAATATAGTATAGTATATACATACATTCACTAAAATCTCAATTAGGCCAATGGCACAACAAGGTAGAATTTAATTATATCATGATAATTAAACTTCTAAATTTCAAAGCAACTTCAAATGGTCCCAATTTAATATATGCTAGTACATGAGTCCTAGTCATCATGATTATCAAGTAAAAAACTTAATTGGGTCAAGGGAACCATGAAATAAATTTTAATTAATCATTTAATTTAAAATCTCTAGATTTTCATACTTGTTCAAATACTCTCAAATTAAAGTATGTTAACAAACATGCTAAGACTTAATTTAAAAGCATACTACAAGTTCATTTCATGAAAAGTATGGCCATGGGATTTAATCTTTAACCAAAGATAAATATTAAATAAAAAGTGCAATTATTATTCAATTAATCCCAATTTAATATATGTTAAATAACATATTAAAACATGATTTTCTAGCATGCCACAATTCCATTCTAAGTTATACACATCCTTGTGAATTAAATTTCATACAAAGAAATAATTAATACTAATTTTCTAGAATTGATACAAGGCATGCAATTAAGTTGTATAATCATGCTAAACACTCAATACAACACACACAAAAGCCTAGAACATCCCCTACCTCAATTTGAGATGAAAATCTCAAAAGCCACCCAAGGAAGCCCCATCAAAATTAAAACTTGAATTCAAACCCAAACTCAAAGAATGGTAAGAAATGGGTTCTAATAAGGGTGAAAGAAGCGCGTAGTCAACACGAACACTAAACGTAAAGGCCCTTCTATGTTCTGACGAAGGAATGAAGATCAAAAGAGGAGAAAGAAGGTGGAAACCTCCCTTGGGCTGCCATGGAAGCTTCAGGTCGTGCAAGAGAGTGGGGAAGATGAAAAAATAAAATATCTCACCCCTCTTTTATAGAAATCTCAAAAAGTGCCCCGAACGGGCCCCGTCGGGTCCGAAAAAGTGAAATTTGAGCAGACGCACTCAAATGACAAAACTCTGTGAATAAAAAAGATTCAAAATGAGAAAATATGAATAACGAAAGAAACGGCGTCAAAAACCAAGTCTCGAGCAGAAAGTTATGCCCTAAACAAGTTTGGCGCTAACTTGGCCAGAAACCCTGAAACTGGAAAACAATGACCAGAAGGAATTTCTAAGAGTACACGACTTGACAAAAAGTGAAAATGAATTCTGTACGAGGATCCAGGCTCAAAACAAGGCATTTAGCAATAACTTTCATTAATTGCATAATGGCCCCTCCAAAAAGTGAAAACTGTATTAATGGCTTAGAATGAAAATATCTTCCAAAAATATTTTCTTAAAAACCCCTGAAATAAAATATCTTCAAAATATATTTACGAAAAATACCCCAAGAAAAGAAACTAATTTCCAAGAACTTTGCATCCATGCCCCTATGTACACCGGGAGCAACCAGAGTACTTTCTTGCAAAAGTAAAGATACGTATTTCGTGAAAACCACTCAAGATGGAGATATATGAAGTCAAAAACCAACTCCGAACACAAGAAGTGTGGTTACACCAACAAAGTGTTAAACGGGGAAAAGACAAAATAGGGAAAATGACGAAATAGGGAAAGGACGAAAAGTGAATAGTGTCGAAAAACAAAAAATGTGGAAACGACTCGGTCCTCAAAGGAAGTTGTCAATCCACAGAAAAGAGTCTCGGAAATCACTCCAGAGCACTCGAGACGACACTAAGCGAAGAGGAATTGAACTCAGAAAGGAAAGACAACGGAAAAAAAATATCCGTGAAAATCCGGGTCATTACAGTGTTGCTGGTAAACCCACCACAAATTCCATACTAACATCTTCCCATGAAGCCTTAGGAAGTGGTAATGGAGTGTAAGCACCAGTATTTTGTGTTTGCCCTTTACAAGTTTGGCATACTCAACATCTTTTCACGTAATGGGTTACATCTCGATAAATGGTAGGCCAAAAATATTTTTCCTTCACATGCAAGATGGTTTTGTCTCTCCCAAAGTGTCCTCCCAAGCCTCCTGAATGAAGTTCTTTAATGATATACTCTCTAAGTGAGCATTTTGGAATGCACAAGCGAGCTCCTTTAAAGAGAAAATCATCTTGGAGAAGATAGTCTTGGTGTCGCCCTTCTTTACAAAGTTTCCAAATTTCACCAAAATCTTCATCTTTGGCATACATGTCTCTAATGGCATCAAACCCTTCAAGTTGAACACGCATGGAGTTTAGAAGTACCATTCTCTTACTAAGAGCGTTTGCCACTTTGTTACATTTACGACTTTTATGTCTCAACACAAAAGTGTACTCTTGTAAGAAAGAAACCTACTTAGCATGTCTTCAGTTCAAACTTCCTTGGTTATTGATGTACTTGAGAGCTTTATGATCGGAATTCAAAATAAACTCCCTTTAAATTAGATAAGACCTCCAATACCGAAGTGTTTGAACAATGGAATAAAATTCCACATTATAAGTAGAGTATTTCTTCCTAGCTTCATTGAGTTTTTCACTAAAGAAGGCAATCGGGGGACCTTCTTGGCTAAGTACCCCACCAATGCCCATATGAGAGGCATCACAATCAACTTCTAGGATTTTTTCAAAGTCCGGCAAAACAAGAATGGGTGCGCTGGACAGTTTTTCTTTAACAAGCCGGAAACTTTTTTCGGCCTCGATTGTCCACTTGAACACTCCTTTCTTCATGCAATTAGTCAAAGGGGCTGAAACAGTGCTGAAATTCCTTATGAATCGGCGATAAAATGAAGCAAATCCATGGAAACTCTTCACTTCTTGTAAGCTTTTTGGTGTAGGTCAACTTTGGACAACTTTGTTCTTTTCTTCATCCACCTTTATCCTTGTAGAAGTCAAAACAAAGCCTAGGAAAGCTAGGCTATTTGTCATGAAAGAACACTTTTTGAGGTTTACATATAGTTTTTCTCCTCTCAAAGTGGTTAGTACAGCCCTCAAATGCTCCATATGCTTACTTTGATCATGACTATAAATAAGAATATCATCAAAGTAAACAACAACAAATTTACCAATGAAAGGTCGAATCACTTGATTCATTACCTTTATGAAAGTGCTTGGAGCATTGGAAAGGCCAAATGGCATGACAAGCCATTCATATAAGCCTTCACGAGTCTAAAAGGCGGTCTTCCATTCATCACCCAGCTTGATACGAATTTGATGGTAGCCACTTCTAAGATCAATCTTGGAGAACACCTTAGTGCCGGCAAGCATGTCAAACATGTCATCAATTCTTAGGATGGGAAATCGGTATTTGATGGTAATTCGGTTAATAGCACGACTATCCACACACATACGCCACGTCCCATCTTTCTTTGGAGTTAACAAAGCCGGCACCGCACAAGGACTCATGCTTTCTCTAACATATCCCTTCTTTAACAATCCGTGACTTGCCTTCTTAATTTTTCATGTTCTTTTGGGCTCATCCGGTAATGTGCTTTGTTTAGAAGACTAGAACCGGGAACAAGATCAATTTGGTGCTGAATGTCTCTAAGTAAAGGGAGACCATTAGGCAAATCATCAGGTGTGACATCTTGAAACTCTTCCAAAAGAGGTTGTAGCTCACTAGGCATATCAATGGGCTGCACTTCTTCTTTAGAAACCAACATATATACAATACCAGTTTCATCACTTTCTTTCATAAATTTTGACAAAGTTAGAAAATTACTACCCTCCTCTTGTGAAGATTTGGGAGTTTTTTCCTCTTTACTTGGCAAGAGAAAAATTTCTAATTTACCCATTTTAAAGGAGTAGGTGTTCTTACGACCATCATGGGTAACACTTCTATCATATTGCCAAGGTCTTCCTAGGAGTATGTGACACACATCCATAGGAATAACATCACACCACACTTGATCATTATAATTTTTGCCCATAGAAAATGAAATAAGAGACCTTTTGGAGACTTTTACCTCATTTCCTTTCTTGAACCATGCAATCTGATAAGGCTTTGGATGAGGCTCAGTTTGGAGCTTAAGCTTGTTCACCATTTCTTGTGAGACGATGTTTTCACAACTCCCATCGTCAATAACAATTGTGCACACTTTGCCTTGAGATTTGCAACGAGTCTTGAAGATATTAGACTGAAGCCAATCTTCATTGGATTCAACTCTAGGAGTGACAAGTGCTCTTTAGATCACCAAGCTTTCGCCTTCTTCGGGTTCAATCTCCTCACGTTCGAATTCACATTCTTTATCGTATATGGGCTGATTTGAATCATCAAAGACCCCGTCATCAATATCTTCATTACCAAAAGCCACACAAGCATCAACTTGCCTATTTGGACGTTCGTTGTAACGATGCCCAACTTGGCCGCATTTGAAACAAGACATAGGATTGTTGTTGCAACTAGATTGAGCTCCAACACGGTTGGTAGGGGCTGATTTTCTAAAATTTTTACTCGCATCTCCAAACTTGGAATTAGTTCCTCCACCACGAGAAGATTCTCCTTTAGAAGAAGGATAAAGACTACGCACATCCACAAAATTTTTAGCACCACCACGAGCCAGTTTAGCATCAACTTTCAAGGCTAATTGCTAAGCATCATTGACCCTCCATACTCGATTGATTTCTACTTCATCGCGAATTGGAATTTTTAACCCACCAACATATCTTGAAACAAGTTGTTCTTCAATTTTTTGAATGTCATTCCGGGCCATGAGTTTGTAAAATTCTTCGGTGTAATCCAACACACTCTTTGAATCTTGACGAAGGTTATTATAATTAGAAAAACAACTTTGCACAAAATCCAAAGGTAGAAATTTCTGTTGAAGCTTAGACTTCATTTTCTCCCAGGAAGTAATTTTAGGCTTTCCCTTGCGAAGCCTCATATCTTAAACTTTGTCCCACCATACCGAAGCATAACCTCGAAGCCTTGTTGCCACAAGCTTCACTTTTTGATTCTTGGGTGTTTCTTTGTAATCAAAGAATTTCTCAATGGCACTAAGCCAACTAAGAAACTCTTCAGGCTGAAGACAACCATGGAACTCCGGTAAATCAATCTTCACATATTCAGAATCAGGATAGAACCTTCCCAACCATGGCCCCGCACGATTGGCAAAAGGGTTCTCATCGAACTCATCACTAGAAGACCCACGACTTGATCTACCACGCTCGTGACGAGTTTCTTGGCATTCCAGCCACAAGGTAAGTTGCTCAACTTGTCTTCGAAGTGCTTGAAGTTCATCATCTCTTTGATCCCTCAAATCTCCCATCATACGGTTGCCATTTCTTCCTCTACCTCTTCTAGCCGCTATGAAACAAGAACAATATAAGTCGAACCGAGAGCGTAGCGCAAGCTCTGATACCAAATAACGCGGTTGGATGAGAAGGAAGAAGAAAAATTATGAAACAATAAAACACAACTAAGAAAGGAGTTGGATAAATAAATAGCTATGCTCTATAATTTCATTACAAAATATAAATTCTAGTTCTGTAGCTTCTTCTTCACTCCCAGCACATATAAATAAAAGACTCCAGCTTCAACACTACATTGATGAGGTTTCAACTCCCAACTCAAAACACAAGACTTAAGATTGACAACTTTAAATTAAACACACCTTCCAATACCTAAAATACCAAGAAAATAAATTTAAGTTGTTGAGGAGAACTCATTTTCTAAGACATCTCATGATCTTCCAATTAGCCACTTAAGCATCCGCATGTTGTTGACAAGGCTGCCAAGTAGGCACTACATCAGAAAGTGATGGCCAAACTAAGTAGGAAGAGGCTAGGGATATGTGTGGGGTTAGGACCAGACTTGTAGAGGAGGACGATGGCATCCAAAGGCTGCCGGCGTTGAGGTTTTGGCCTGAGAAGAAGGAGTTTCAAGGTTTTTCAATCCAAAACCTTAAAGGCAAGTTCTATGTTCTACTCCTCTCCTTCGATCTAGTGTCCAATACATGTCTAGGACATCTTTAGGATGTTTAAGCAAGATTAATGAACCTGTATGCATGTTAATTCGGATTAAAATTAGAAAGTTACATGCTCATATATATGTTTTGATGTTTTGTTTTGATCTTGAATTATGATGCATGAATTTTTGTCTAAATTGAATCTAAACATGCTTAATCATCTTAAATAAATTATTAAGGATGTATGGGACTTAGAATGAAGTTTAGGACTCTTAACGGAGGAGATCGGAGAGTTTTTAAGTCGCCGGATATGGAGAAAAAGGAGGGCAGCAGGTCGAGAGTCGGCTTCCTTTTATTTTTCGTGGCTTTCAGGTTGAGAGCCAGCTCCTTTTTCAAGGGAGCTAGCTCCTTTATGAAAGAGAGCTGGCTCCCTTGTTGGAAAATGGCAGAATGTGAATAGATTGGTGTTTATTTTATTCTCAGGGGGTTCCAAAGTTACTTAACTCGTATTGGGTGTTTTAAATGACTAATATGGACATACTAAACTCCCAGAATGCATAATATATACTAATATGCTAAAGATTGAAGACATAATGGAATTTTAAATAACTTATGAGTTGATTAATTCCAAGAATGCATAATATACAACTATATGCAATAATATGAAGGTTTATACAATTTAATTGAGATATAAGTTAATTAACTATTTTGTAATTTAATTACATGCTATTTAGAATTGCTCTATATTGTTTAATTAAATACAATGTATATTTGTATGATTAATATTATGTTTATTTATGGATTATTTGATGTACATACATGCCTGCATCAATTATTTGATTGTGAACCATTGTCAGGATATGGTTACGGATTTATGCTCCATTGTCAGGATATGGGGGCATACTATGGATGAGCTAGTTATTAAGTCTAGTCCCATTAATTGTCATGCCGTTGTCAGGATATGGATGAGTATTTTATCAATGAGCTGGCTAATAAGTTTAGTCTCATATTTCGTGTCAGGTCACAAATTCATATGTGGATGACATGCCATTGAAAGACTATGGCGGATAGGATGTTTTATGTTTTGGATATGATATAGATTTATATATATAGATATATGCCACAATATGAACTTGAGTTATTGTAACGACCTTGGATTCTTCAATCCAGTGTCTACTGTGATGACCCGAACCGGATCCAGAAATGCAGAAGCAGAAGAAGCAAAATGGCCTCAAGAGATATACATCATCCCTAAGGCACCAAGATGACTCCCCATGAAGCCATGGAACTCAAAGAAAACAAGAGCGGAAGCAACGGTTCACAAACGAACGAGAATGAACCAAAGGACAAAATGGTCATTTCCAAACTGAGATGGGTGCCACCGTGCACACCATTGAAAAGATAATGAAAATGAATGAAGATAGACTCAAGAATCACCTTATTCTGAGTCTGAAAGGAAAAGATATGAATTTAAAACAAAGTGGCCTTCGCCGTTTAAGGGTTACCCCGAACCTATCTTACTAAAAATGGAATAACTCTCACTATAAGTGGATTTCTGATGAGTGGTTGGTACCAATGGAAAGCTAACTTCGAGCTCTTGAACTTAGAATCAAGAATCACCCAATTTGGATCTGGAATGAAATAGATATGACATTCTGAAGTTGGAACAACAAACTGCCCAAGGAAAAGATGAAGAACAAAGTTCCTGGGAGGGTCGGTCGACCGATGGCAAGGGTCAGCCGACCAAAAGTGCACCATCAGCCGACCGAACCCCAAGGATCAACCAGACGAAACACCCTTTTTGGCTACTGTAATTGCCACGAGGCTTGTCAGCCGACTGATGATGCTCCATCAGCCGACCGACACATCTGCTGCAGCTCAGAAAAGCTGCTGCAATGTGTGAGTATGATGCTAGGTCCATTTCTAAGGCTCTATAAGCTTTTTATATGATCCGGACAAGTTTGGAAACATCTCTTAATATCGTTGAAACATTCAAATTCATAAGAAGGAACTCAAAATGACACTCCGTGGAGAAATTTTTCATAAAAATTCATGAAATTGCCCAAAAATAGGTTAAAAGTTGAAACTTAAGAGTTTTGTGAAATGTGGACATGCACGCGAACGTAAAAAGACATTTAAGATGCGTTCCGATGGTCCGCGGCCTCAAAATGTCAAGAATGCAAAATATGACCTCTCAACGGCCAAAAATGCCTAAAAATGCAATAAATGAAACCAAAATGTGACACTTAGAACAAAATGGTGTTTGGCCCTTGGCCACACCACATACATGATCATAGAAACCCTAAGAAAAAGAAAGAATGGAATTCCCACACCCGATGCAAAATTTATGAAGTAAAGACTAATGATTTTTCAATATTTTCATAATAAACTTTCAAAAGCAAAAATGTATAGAATACATAATACATGTCATTGGCCTCCGGCCTCATCTTATACATGTTGAATAAAATGAAAAGGGGTGTACTTATGTACACTTTACATATTTAGAATCAAAGAATACAAGTTTCATACATTAAGCTATGAAATGATAGTTCATGCTAACATTTGCATGAAATGGAAACTGAAAAGCTGGAAGACATCTCTATGAACGGCAAGCATCACGAACCAAGTCTTCATACCTGATCAAATCCCCCAATAACTTCGAGGTAAGTAAACAAGTTTACTCGTAGAGAATGAGTATGCATCGACTCGATTTCTTTAGAGATTTTTAGGACTAATATGATATAATTCAAAAGGGATCATGCCACCTAACGTCTATGTCAAAGATTAGACTCAGGGATCGTCCTAAGCTACTCATACAATTGAAATAGAATATACAACATGCAAGCATACCAGTTACAAGTGTACTAAATGAAGAAGAAAGTATGTGTGGTAAGTATACAAAACACAGGCATACTAACAAGATGGGAAACACACAAGGCAAGTATACAAGATAAGAGTACACTAAACAGAATCTATGTACAAGAAGCAAGTATGTAGTTCCAAGTATGCTAAATAAGATCTAAATACACAAGTAAGCATAACATCTATGCAGTTAAACAAGGTGGGAAAGTACTCCATAAAACATGACATGGTTCTTAGATCTTTACGAGATAACACTAGAAATCTAAGAGTTTAGA